TTTGATATTAGTAAAAATTATTCTAACCCTAACCCTTGCAGTCTCCTTAATGTTGAGCATGAAAGCGTCCGTGACCGAGTGGTTAAGGTCGTTGACTTAAACCACGTGCCCTTCACCGCTGTATGTTCGAGTCCCGATAGGGACTTTGGATGTTTTCATGTGAGGAAGCCATCTAGCTAGCTTACGGAACTTCGGTGGTTTTATTCAGGTGCCGTTCGTGCCTGAAATAATGCACAGAGGGGCACCTGAGATCTCCCGCCATTAGTTAAAGCTGGAAAGTCGTCATATGATCTATACTGTGCTCGTGCGACGTAAAACCCAATAAAAAAGAAACGAGGCACATAATGTAAATTACCTTTGATATTGCTTCAAATTATTATCAGAGTCTTTCATCGCCTTTTCTTTCAATTTTTGGATAACTTTTGGGTTTTTCCTGACTTGTTCGTTCTGGGCAGCATCAAGTAGTTTCACAATATCTTCCCTTTCTCAAGAGCCGCAATATCGAGAGCCGTATGTAGTTCTTTATCCATAATCCAAATATTGGCGCCAAAACTAATGAGGAATGACACACAGCTCCAGTGACCGTTTCTAGCTGCATGAGGCATTGCCGTGAAACCAAGTAAATCCATTTTATTGACATCACCACTGAAAATAAACATCATGTCAAATTCGTGTGTCCATCTGATGCCAAATTCAGGACAGTGTGACGCCTGCATAAAGGAGAACAGCGACTCTTGAACATTGATATTGTACATTTTCAATGGAGGTACATGAGGTCATTTATCTTATAAAACAACAATAACAGCAATTTCAATGGTGTTTAATTTGCACTTTTGATAACAGTTACCCAATATATACATCAACAAATGTTTTATGATAACCGACAATTTTTATTATTATAAAAAGTAAAGTTTTGACCAATTTGTATTTTCTCATAAGAAATCTTGACGAAACGAAAAACAAGATTTTATAGAGATATACTGTTCCTTGACTATTTTTTCCTTAATGAAGGAATGTGATCTTGTTAATACAAATTAACAGGTTTTCTTTAAGGAAACGTATTTCTAGTCAATTTCATCTACTTAATTTCTGTAGAACCAGAATATTCACTATCACCAGACATTTTTTCTGACTGTTTGCACCTTGACAATGTTTTTAGTGTGACTTACAATGATAAGAGCTGATCTGTCTATTTATTCATCATGTGTGGGGTTATCAGATATGACTGTTGACTATCTGTGTCGTTTAGTTTCCATATTGTTTGTTTGAAACATTCTCATGATCCTCCGCTCGGCTTATTTCCTCATGTATGTCAATTATAGTATGTCCTACATTTGTTGTGATTAAAAGAACAGCCCTTTGCGTCATAATATGACATATTATTTTTATGTGGTCCCCGGACTTCATTCCAAAAAGTTCTGAAGTTTATTGTGCTGCGAAGTCTTTGTCACGTGTGATGCTCAGGTCAATATTTCCTGCAAATTTACACTGAATTGCGAAACTTAATTAGCACTATAACTTCTAACTCCCACTGAATCAATATTAAACCTGGGAACTACCAAATACGAAATACAACAGGTTTTCTTTAACGAAACTTATTATCGTATAATTGGCTTTAATTGCGGACTTCCACCTAATCAATATTATACCTGCGAAGTCACACTAAATAAGCATTATGCCTGTTTCCATCGAATCTTGTATCTATGATCAATTCTATACCTGGCTTTAATTGTGAACTCCCGCTGAATCAATATTATAACTGTGAATTCGACCTCTATCAATATTATACCTGTGATCTCCCGATTAATCGATATTATACCTGCTAACTGACACTGAATCAATATTAAACCTGTGAATTCACACCATATCTATGTTATACATGAACTGTTCAATACATTTAAATTTGTAGTTCAATACTTCTTACATTGGATGTTCTTATACTATTTCAGTGCAGTGCTTATCATTTGCAAAGCATTTAAACAGAGCGCAATGTGCGAATAGTTTGTTTTTGATCGGAGAAAACGACCTCTGCTAACGAATCTTATGCCTGCTTCGAATTATTTTCGTTTTCCCACGCTTAATCTTTATTTCCGGACGAAATTGCATTTTCTCCGCGAAACAAATAGGGAACAAACATACTAGTATGGGAAACGTTATCAATATTATACAAAGAAACACCATGTTTGAAACAAAATATACGATAATATGATAGAAAGATATAATACTTATAATTATCAATGTTAGTGGATGTACTGTTGAAAATAGCTCATAGATGAACGAAATTCTTTTAGCCATGCTGATGAATTGATTTGATATAAAATGAAATGATTGGCGGGCTAGGCGGCAGATGTTAGCACAGAAAGAGACGATACCAGCTGTCAGTTTTAAAGGATAATTTAGCACTTTGTAACCCACTGCTTGTAACTTAACAATCACAACAACAAAAAAATTTATGATAAATGTAAAATCAAAACTATTTTTGTATTGTATAAATCTTCTGGCAGTTTTATTATTAGTATTATTGTTTATATTTGTTTCTTCACAAGTGGTTGTTGCTTCTATAGTCTGTATTCCCACGTTATCAGACGCGTCATTATTCGTTGCTGCTTCTTCTGTTTGCATTTCTTCGTTAAATGTCTCATCATACGTTTGAATATTAGCGTCATGTACACGTGTTTCTTTACTTCTTGTTTGTGTTGATATGTTTACCGTCTTACAACGCTTCATTTCTGTTCCAACTGTCCGAGTTTTTTTCCTTTGTTGTTGTTTGACAATTGTCTGTGTTCCTTTGTTCGTCGTCTGCTTAGTAACGAGAACTCGACTGTCCGTCTTTCTCTTGTGTAACTCTAACAAAGTGCTCAGCAAATAATTTGTTGGGAATAGATCTTCAGTATTCTTTCCATTATCTATCAAAATTTCCTTTCGACAGAGAGGACAACTGACTTTGTTTTTATTTTCAATTATAGAAAGAAGACAATCTTTGCAGAAACTGTGTTGGCATGGAAACATTTTTGGGTTTTCGAAAATTTCAATGCATATCGAGCATGTCAATATTTCCTCCGCCATTGTTTTCGTATATAAGTATATTTTCTTGATAGGTTCTGTATATTATCTGTAATTAAGATAGAAAATACAAAATTGTAACTCTGATTCCTATAAATAATGAACATGTTGTAATTACATATCTTTATATTGTATAGAAGTAAAATCAATCAAAGAAGAAATAAATGATTGAGCACCTATTAACTGGGATATATATTAATTAGCATCACTATAATTTTAATAATCTTCGTCGATTTTTTTATTTCGGGTTATCATTCCCCCCCCCCCGTGCCATTTCCATTTTTTGAAAAGTAAGTAAGTCACAAGATACATAAATAACTAACCGTAAACTTCCTAGTGTAAATCCGTGAATAACAAGTAAAGGTAAACAAGTTATGTATGTTTATCTAACCAAATGTATGATGACATATTTCTGCCAACAGTTCAATGCTAAACTAATCATCATATAAACTAGGAGGTTATATTGTTACGATCAAACGATCAAGAAAGTTTTACAGATTAATAGATATTAATCTGTTATGCAACTGGAACGTGTTGCACTTGCGATAACCAATTTAATACTGACATATTTTTCTTAAAACGGACACTAAATGAATAATGAACGTTGTTTATTTTGGATTGGATTTTACGTCTTACCAAAACATTATAGTTCATATACGAGTATAGAGCACAAACGGGCACTTTGAGTAGAACCACCGACGCTCTGTAGCTAGCTTGCTGGATAGTTTCAACACATGACAGACGACGAAATCCATGTTAGGATTAAAACCCACAGTGGTGACGGGCAAGTGGTTTGAAGTCAACGATATTAACCACTTGGCCACGGGCGGGATAATTAAATTGTTGGCAGAAATATGCCACCATACAAATAGTATTTAATTTTATATCTCAAGTCAATAGCAAATACATCTTATATCAAATGTAGCGTGCATGCTCGTGTCTGATAACAGAAGGCGGAATAATAGAGAAACATGTAAAACTGTTTTAACTGATAGTTCAGTCATAGTCGTTACGATAGTATTGCTTCTAGATAAGCTACATGGATAACTTTAATGTTATGTGTAAACGGTCAGATTCTAATGAAAGTCAAGGAAGATTAGATGACATTGGAGCGCTTATATTAAAGTTGATTATTAACTGATTTTAAACGTTCTGGCAATGAAAATTTTAGTTATGATAAATATAAAAAAGGGGAAATATTTTAACGGTGTATAACAAATGCGTGTGTAAATGTAAATTGTAACGTGGTCTGACGTCTAATTAGTTAATAATGTCGGAAGTAACCTAATATCAGACTAGTGTTAAGTAGTGAACATAATGTCAGACTGAAGTAAAATAATAACCTTATGTCAGACTGAAGTAAAATAATAAACTTAATGTCAGACTTAAGTAAATAATGAACCTTATGTCAGACTGAAGTAAAATGACGCAATTGATGTCAGGCTTAAGTTAAATAATGAACCTGATGTCAGGCTAAACTCAAATAATGAACCTAAGGTCAGACTGATGTAAAATGATGACCATTATGTCAGACTGAAGTAAAATTATAAATTTAATGTTAGACTTAAATAATAATCTACTGTCAGACTTAAGAAAATAATGGACCTTATGTGGGACTTAAGTAAAAGTAATAAACCCAATGTCAGACTTAAGTAAAATAATGAACCTGATGTCAGACTTAAGTAAATAATGAACCTCATGTCAGACTTACGCAGAGTAATGGACCTAATGTCAGACTGATGTAAAATAATGACCATTATGTCAGACTGAAGTAAAATTATAAATTTAATGTTAGACTTAAATAATAATCTAATGTCAGACTTGAGTAAAATAATGAACCTGATGTCAGACTTAAGTTAATAAAGAACCTCATGTCACAATTAAGTTAAATAATCAACCTTATGTCAGACTGTAGTAAATAATGCACCTGATTTCAGACTTCAGTAAAATAATTAATCTAATGGCAGACTTAAGTAAAATAATGAACCTGATATCAGACTAGCGTAAGTATTGAACCTAATGTCAGACTTAAGTTAAATAATGAACTTAATGTCGGACTTAAGTAAGTAAAATAATCAACCTAATGTCAGACTTAACTAAGTAATGAGCCTGATGTCAGATTGATGTAAAATAATTCACCTAATGTCAGACAAGCGTAAAATTATGAACCTGATGAAAGACTTAAGTAAAATAATGAACCGTATGTCAAACTTAAGCACAAAAAAGAACCTAATGTCAGACTTAAGTAAATAATGAACCTTATGTCAGACAAATAATAAATAATGAACCTGATGTCAGACTAGCGTTAAATAATGAACCTGATGCCAGACTAGCGTTAAATAATGAACCTGATGTCATTCCAGGTTAAAAAGAGATCAAACAAAAACAGGAGTAGATAAACAGGCGTCATACTGCCGATTAAAGTAGGAACATGACGTCAGACAGATGTAAATATGTCAAATATCAGTTACCCTTGCATTAAAATTGTTTATTTGGACGTCTGATTAGCGTCAAAATGTATCAAAATGGTCATTTTTGTTGATTTTTCTCTGGTAATATCACTTTCATTTCTTAATTGTATGTGAAAACTATGTTTAATAGATTTTTTCCTAGTTTCTTTGTCCAATATCTATAAGGCATTTACACCTCGCTTACTCTTATGCGACATTTTAGTAAGGTTAATCACAAATAATCAATACGATTTCTGGATTTTTTTGAGATATCAAAAATTAATGTTTTAAATGTACATGTATATCAATAAACTTACCTGTTTTTGAAGCTCTCCACTCCTTGTTTTGAAATAAAACATTAAACAAATCATTTGATAAACATGCTAGCAACAACTTATATAATAAACTACATATTTTAAAAAGAATTTATTCTTTGGTAGTGTACAATCAGATCAATATATTCAAACTGCATATCATATTTAACAAAGGAATTGAATGCATAACTGGTAACGCTATTTAACTTTGATATTTGCACGGAGCTCTATAATTAAGTTCCCTTTAAACTTTTCAACATATATTAAAAATCACATGTAAATTATATTTGTGCATTTTGTACAAGTCGTTACCTATAAGGATGATAGTAGTTATATAACAGTGATAGATTTAGTGAATAATCAACCACTTACATATATCAATTCGATAATTATATTAATTTGCGATGATTTCGACCAACTTGTTTGTCTAATTTGGGAACATCAAAACTTTATTCTGTGTAAGAATGAACTAAAACCTGGCAATATTTATTTAGCTGTGATGGTTGTTTTGCAGTTTACTCACGGCAGTAAAGCCATATCGAATTTACCAGAGCACAGTTTAGCCACTGCATCGTTCTTGTACAGACTGTTAATCTGGTCCAGTACTGGTGCCTTCACTTTCGCAAGGAACTGATAATACTTCTGTATATGAAAGAGCAGAGGTACAATACGAATGACCGTAGATCAATCACAACGAAGGTGACATGCGCCGTCAGGGAATCGAACCCGCGTCGCTCGATCCACAACTCAACGCTCTACCAGCATATATATCTAAATGCATATCGCTCTCTTCATTTCAGTCCAATTATCTATATATCACATGCATATCTTACTCAATGTTGCCTTATTTTCCTTTATATGCTAAAAAAGGTTTAGGCGAATCATTATTGTACTTGAAAAAACAAACCGCATTGTTAAGAAAAATACTGATACTATCAAACACGTACACAGGTGCTGACGCCTCGTCCAATATAAGTTTGACAACTGTGTACTCGTCTAATAGAATTCAGTATTGTATAATATTAAATCTCATAATATTGGTGAATTCTGCTTAAGACGGTGTTAGTAAGCCGTATCCCTATCAAATCACACTTGCAGCATTAGCCATTTTCAATTTTGTCGTTATTTTTGCGTTCTCTGGGGGGTCATTTATCCTCTGTTATATATATAGTATTTGCAAAACTGAATTACAAAGCTTTATAAAGCTGTTTTAAGTCATATGTCATTTGCACGAGAATACAGATGAAAATGTAGAAATTTAAAAAGTCGTCGCCTCCATTTTAATGACATTGTATCCCTTTCAAACATATAAGGGACAGTAAAACTTCTTCTGCCATTTTGATTTCTACAATTACAAACTTGGTCTAGATATTTACAATGCTATAATTAACAACGCTATTTTTGTTTTCAGAATGGAAATTTCAAAGATGATTTCCATAACAAGGGATACAAATCCACCGTTTTTTGAATTTTTCTTCTGAATGATGCGTCTCCCTTTGCATATGCCATATTATCGAAGAATGTATGTACTATCACGTTTTTTTACGACTAACATTAAAGTATGTAACAACAATTTTCTTGAGAATTTAAATATATATGTATAACGTGCTACTATATAGTCTCCTGGCATGACTCGTGATTTTGTCATTATAGACAGAAAAGAAAATAACCGGACCGCTGTGTAAAACTGCCAAAAATAGTTTATAAGTACGTATTTACAAAATTAAATTGACAGGTGCGGCGCAGCCGCGCAACAAATTTAATTTTGTTAATACGTATAATAAATTTTGACCAGCATAGTGTTTTAAATTATTTTTAGAAACAGTCGTTTTACTAATTGCCGATTTACAAAAGTAAATGTGTTACGATTCTTTTGAAATACTGCAATCCTTTTGGACAAAAATAATTTCAAACGCTTATAACCGTAAAATAAGAAAAAACTATCTCACAGTGAGTCACTGTAACTCAGATTGCAGGTGATTTTACTGAGTACATGTTTATAATACTATAATACAGTCGTCAATATTTGAGAAACACGTAGTTTATTGTTTAGTTAAAAGTCAAAGTTAATGCAGGCGCTCATAAGTTTGAGTGTTCACTTCAGGAAAATTGGTAATTATTTGTTCTTTATCCAGGAAAGCCGGTTAGTTTGGTCGACCAAAATCGAGAGTTACAATCGGCCTTAAAATGCAGAACCACATTTAAACTCTGCTTTCTTCGATTGATAAGCATCTAACATTTTCTAAATCCATAATTTAGATATTATAAAATACACGTATGTCTTACTTTTCAATGATACTATTTTCTGAGTCTTAATGACTTTTAGGATTTTTTTAACACAAACATCAGAACATCAACATAGACAAACAGTGTAAAACCGTCTTATTTTTTTCAAAGAATCTTTATTTCATTGAGAAAATGTCCAAATTATACTTGGTCAAACATAACAAGTACAAGATAAAAACAAAACAGCCTTCTTGACGGTCAAATAATTATACAAATTTTAACACAACTCTACAATTTATGATTTCCTGATTAATATTTTGAAAAAATAAAAGCTACAGTTGCCAATCTTAGAGTAACCGTTGCGATAAAAAAATAAGTCACTCTTAAAATATTCTAGCTTTAGTTCACCTGACCTAACTTTAACTAATACAAACATGTCACGGAGTTTCATCATTGTAATCATTTAATTTCAAAATTGTCTTACTGGCTATTCTTATTTACTTGAGTACTTATTTTTGCTCAGCTCCTATAATAACATAAATACATAAAGATGTAGCTTAAATATCTGAAAAAGGGGATATCCCTTGAAGGCAACGAAAACATTATAAAAAGGTGAACATTACAGGCTCGGTTTAATTGAGTCTGTTGATGAGAGATAATGAAAGGGGCAACACCTCTCACGCCCTCTAGCACCGGCTAATGCAGTGTTTAGCCTGTATAACTCTAATTCATCATAATTATATTAAACATTAGTATTCCACGGACTTTATGTGATGATAAACAAACAAAGTCTAGTTTATATGCTCCGACAAATTGCGTCATGACCGCCTATATATAATGAAGTTTTATTCTTGTAAGATATTCCTTAACATCTTTCAGGCATTTTGTTAGTATGTTTCTAGTAAATATGTAAATAAATATGCAACATTCCATCGTGCTTTAATATTTATACCCTAAATAACGGGTAAAATATAAAGCACATGTTTTACAACAATATGATTTAATACCTTTCTAAATATGCCCATCTATATACAAGACATCAATATTCTAACTAGGTGACCACTATGTATCATACAAGCTCGATATATACAGTGTGTTAGAATTAAAAATATTTAAATTCACTATGACAATGACCTTGAAGTTTTACCAAAAAGCTTTAAATGCATTTAATTTGAGAGATCGAAAAAGTAACTTTATAACATAATACTATATCAATATGAAAGAAATATGGTCATGTACATATATCCATATATACAAAAGGATGAAGTATACGAGGCACGGAATACACGCGGAATGTACAATATTCGAAGCTCAATATACAGAAAATTTGATGGTTAGAAGTGATATGACTTAGAGAAAATGAAAATTATATTTTGATGAAAATAAGTTAATATTTTTTGGCTGATAGCCTCCAGTATATTTTTGTTTATAATTGACTGTCATACATTTGAGCAGGTTCGGTAAGCACAACTCGTCTTCTCTGAATAGCATCCATTAGTTTTCTTCTTGGTCCAATAGGTAAACCCATGTCCTGAAAGTCTTGGTTTGTTAACATCATTAAAGCATCCATATCTACGTCGGAATCTAGAAACAAATGTGTGTATAGTCTTAGTCCGCATCCTTCCAAGAACATGATGACTGGTGTATATTCAGAATCATCATCTTCATCATCATCTAGCTCTTCCACATCTTCTGCTTTCCATGGCAAATCTTTATCAGCTTCAATATATGATTCTGTCCCACTACTTAATCTTTTACCATCAGTATTGTTGCCATCTAAACCATTTGAAAGATCCCCGTTTTGATATCCAGCATCTGTTTCATCTAACGAAACATTAGCTTGATTTTGAAAACTGTTCGTGTGTTGGAAGTGGCTGCCAAGAAAACATATGTTTCCAAAACTTGGACGATTAAAAATTCCAGGGGCACTTTCGTCATCTTCAAAACTTTCGTCAACACCCGAATCTCTAGCATCGCCACCTATAGCTGCATCTGGAAATATGTTTGTAATAGCACCACGTGCGCTATTATCGATTGTCTTTTCATCTGAACCATCTATGTCGATGTTTTTAACATATAATACCTGTCCATCTTTTCTGGAGGCAGTTCCACGAATTGATCTCAAAGTTCTCCTACCAGTATCATCTACTTCACTGATATTGAATTCATTGTTCCCGTCTGATATACGTGAACGAGATGAGGCGCCTCGGGTTGTTCCACCGTTTGCAAAGGCCGAAAAAGCTTCAGCTCTACCACGAGTCGCCTTTGACTTTGCCGTATTTCCCTTTATTCTCTGTGTAAGTGTTTTTACGAAATTTTTCTTACTCGGTGCTTTGAAATCATTTCCGTTCTGAATGCTTTCTTCTCTTTCCATTTGTCTTTTTTCTTTTGCCAAGTCTTTTGCTGCTTTATCTTGCAGTCTGAAATGTAAACATGACGTACTTGTAGCTACATAATATAAAATATATATCATAAGCTAACTATTGAAAACACATACTGTTCTCTGAACAACTATATATATTATATATGAACTACATAACATAATATTGAACACAAATACGCTCAATTAAAAACATAACATTGAACACTGAAAACATATTTTATACATTGAAAAACAAACATAATTGAAAACATATATTAAATGCCGAGCTACATAACCTAACATTGGACGCAAATATTTTACACGCTGAATAACATATATACTATTGAACACCTATATAACACGCTAAAATTGAATACTTAACAATGTTTCAAATAGTGCATAAAACACAACTGAATACATGCATCAAATGCAGAAATACATAGCGTAAGCATACAGTGAGTTATTTTATAAGCCAATAATTGCACAGAAACTGCGAACGCAGGTATAGATTAATGTAGTTATTCCTTTTTTGGAGAGTTTTTCTGTACCTTTGATTGTATGACGAAATTCTATACAAAAAAATTCGTATCAAAGTTATAATCTTGATGTAAGTAAAATTATTCTAACCCTAACCCTTGCAGTCGCCTTAATTGTAGGAGCATGAAAGCGTCCGTGACCGAGGTTGTTGACTTAAACCAAATGCCCCCACCGCTGTATGTTCGAGTCCCGATAGGGACTTTGGATGTTATCATGTGAGGAAGCCATCTAGCTAGCTTACGGAACGTCGGTGGTTTTATTCAGGTGCCGTTCGTGCCTGAAATAATGCACAGAGGGGCACCTGAGATCTCCCGCCATTAGTTAAAGCTGGAAAGTCGTCATATGATCTATACTGTGCTTGTGTGACGTAAAACCAAATAAAAAAGAAACGAGGCACATAATGTAAATTACCTTTGATATTGCTTCAAATTATTATCCGAGTCTTTCATCGCCTTTTCTTTCAATTTTTGGATAACTTTTGGGTTTTTCCTGACTTGTTCGTTCTGGGCAGCATCAAGTAGTTTCACAATATCTTCCCTGTTCTCAAGAGCCGCAATATCGAGAGCCGTATGTAGTTCGTTATCCATAATCCAAATATTGGCGCCAAAACTAATGAGGAATGACACACAGTTCCAGTGACCGTGTCTAGCTGCATGATGCATTGCCGTGAAACCAAGTAAATCCATTTTATTGACATCACCACTGAAAATAAACATCATGTCAAATGTATAGCAATGTCAGAAATAACGTTTGAAAAGTTTTTTACTTGAAAAGACAGAAAACAACTTGCGCAACATGATGTAACAAAATGCTTAAATTGAGTTGGAGTTAAAGTTTATTTAGTAATAAACTTACAATTAAAAGAACGATTTTGAATTCATATTTACTTCAACATTTTACATATTAACACCGCAATATTAATTTCTGAGTCAATGACTATTAATTAAGCCTTCGATGATAAATCAACTATCGATTTGTAATAATTTGTGTGTTCAGTGATCATGTTCTCGGAAGAAAAGAAAACTTCTCAAATTTATTTGACGCATATATAATAATGAATGACATGGCTAGCAAACACTAGTGTGTTAAATTAACCGTATATATACACCGGTAAAGAAGGAGTTTCTATGGAAGCTTGAATTGACCCCCCGAGATGCCGTGGTCCGTGATTATTTATATGTGGCCATGTTGACATATATTAGTGCGACATGGCTTGTTTTAGCATGGTTTTGGTGGACAGATGGCTAACACTCTGCGACGACTACAATTTTGACAACAAGAACTACGCCGGCAACTACAGCCATGAATTCGAATCCGAATACTTTTTTATGACTTAAAGTTTACCACAACGAGTATCTTGACCGAAAAAAAAAACGAATATAAAGACTATGCCAGCAACTACGGTCACAACAAGAAACAGATCATCGCATTTAAATAATACGCCGACACCTAAAGTCTACAACATCGACCATGTACTCTAGAATTCTAAGATTCCTAATACAGCTACAACTGGTTTTTTTTTCTGATCCTTCTGTAAACAAAAGAGTTATTTCGTTATTGACCAAATAATTTTGCATTTTTTCTCTGTTTTGGTCAAAATGAACTTGATCTTTGACCTTCTAACCTGACAATCATAAGGTATGATAAATACCCCTTGCAAGTATGGAATGAATATATGTGATATAAATGACAAATCTGATTTTAATTTTGTCATTAGGCATGATCTATATAAGTGAAAGCGGAAAATATTTTTCTAAAGTAGATCTACATATCCAACGTATATAGTTTACGTTAACTGTATACGCTCACAACTAACGAACATACCAAAACAGAAACTATGTGTTTTTTTTTATTTCAATCAACGTATACAGTTCACATGTAAACTATATATGGTGCAACAAAGCTGTTATCTCAGATAAAATTCATGTCATTGATTTTTAATACAGCAAAAGTCCTAGTAGTTTTTTTTATTTGGATCGCTTCAACGTAACTTGACAATCTTTGTAAGGTCATGTTCACATAAATGTAAATCTTTATCAAATTTATCATTCAAGTACATGGTTTGCAGATATATGCACCGTTATATATACATGTACATATTTGAGCGGTTCCCTGTCGTACCATATTTAGAATATCTTGAATTGCACTTTAACCATCTTGAATTATTGTTCAGATATGGTCATACATAGATAAGAGAAGATAATGGTAGAGAAGATGAAATGTTCTTTGATTTACATGTAAAAATAAGATAAACATTTTTATTTTCATGTTGGTTTAATGTTGATATTATAATAATTAATGTAAAAATAATACGATACTTTTTACAGTGCTTAAAATGTTGATATTTATACATGATTTAACTTAGATACAGACATTTATCAACAATAGTTCTTTGATTCCATATATATTTTCACATTTTTAAATACGAGCATTTTGTTAGGTTTAATATTAAATTAATATATAGATGTATGAAGAAATCACGCATCATCTTGTTGAATTGTGTCATTGAAATTCCCAGTTTATTTTAAGTGTTTTTAATATATTCATTATGCACCATAGTTAATTACTCTTGTTCATAGGACCTAATAGGTAATAAATAATTAAATGATCATGCGGGAGAAATCTAACAGAGCAACGATAACCTTTATATTGTAACTTTTGTTGAAATTTTTATTTCACAATAAAAAAAACTAAACCACGTTGCTCTTACTGATAATACATAATTTAACCAATGGTTAGGAGTTGAAAAACAACTTAGATTTCAGGTTAGCATATATTTTTACAGTTCATTTCAGACCTTGATAGTTTTATCATATTGTTAACTATGTACATGTAGACCTATAAACTATTTATCTGCCCGATATTTATTTCAATCAAAGAATATAAACCCAGACTTAACGATCCTGTGTTGCGCGAATTGCAAATAAAGCAAAGTTTAAAATGGAATTTGATAAATTTAACAGCTACTTGAGAGTAATCTCTCTATATGTTTATTTGCCATTGCAAGTGAAAATGTTTGTTTCACTGGCGGATTTATGATAAGACGACGTTTACAGACTAGACATTAAGTCAAAACAATGCTATATAAATACAGTAAATGTTAAATTTAGATCGAATTCTTCGGAGCCACGAATTTTAAGTTAAATTTCATGTAAATTTCATGTACAAAACGACAAATTTAAATGTATATAGCTCGCATAGTCTTTCTTTTAAATAAACTCGTTCAGCTAACATATTTTGGACTGCCAATTATTAATTTTGGGGAAAGTAAGTCAGCCTGAGTAGACAGCACGGGCAAGCAGGCAGTCAAAGGTTAATTAATCTCGCTAACAGAAGGAAAATGGTTTAAGGTTACGAAGGTAAATGTGTGCTGATTCCATACGGCTTTTATTACAATGTAAGACAGGAAATATTCCGACTGGATTACACACTAGCCTGGAATACAGCCTGGTCCGAAATACAGACTGGTCCAAAATACATGCCAATCTAAAGTGCATGCATTGAAGCCAGTCTGAAAAACATGCCACCTAAAATAATGCTGGTCAGAAATTCAAGCTAGTCCGAAAAATATGCTGACCTTAAATAATGCTGACCTAAAATACAGGCTGGTCCGAAATATATGCTGACCTTAAATAATGCTGACCTAAAATACAGGCTGATCTGAAATATATGCTGGCCTGAACTAAACTGAGTTTATCTTTTTACAGTTTGATAGTGTATTTTTTACGTACACATGATTATATTAAGCTGAAATGTTCATATGTTTATAGAAAATATACAGGACTGGTTTCATGCAATGCTGCGATTGTGCAATCCTGCAGAGCCATTCCAACTAATATGATGATAATTCAACTTTCTAACTATATTTTATAAGATTGATTCATCTGATCGCAGCTAATATAAAACTAACTTAGTCATTGTTTAAACTTTAATTGTTTTGTATTTGATAATAGTTAATATGTGTGTTTTGCCGACAATTAAATCATGTCTATTTAATTATATAATTTTACATGAATTTGATTGTTTTGTTTATTCGGAAATATTCGGCACGTCAAAGTAGCTTACGATTAGAGAATTTTGATAAGACAGACGTTTATAGAGGTCAGGTTAGAAACAGAGGTATGACGTTTGATACTTTGTCACTTTAACTGTCAATAAAACTGACATAATATTTGTTTAGGTAGGAGATGGATTGGCAGCTGTATTACATACATATTCATCAAAAGTCTCAGTGAAACAAGCTCGAGGTGTACTAATGAACTTCGTTTGTTTAATATGCTGAAAATACCTCTCTTGATTTACAATTTCTATAGAATATTTTTGACATCGTAGTTGCTATTGATACGAGACCTTGTTGCTATTGTTACGTCATTTATGATGCTCTTCCTTAAAACTTGCAAACTTATTTTCACGCTTTAAAACCCTATCTATCAAGTTAAGATGTATGAAATTAGTGTTTTCAAATGTGAAAGTTGTGACGCAGGTGTGAACCTAGTTTGAAGTTTAAAGGTTAAATGATAAGATCATTATTTTATTAAGAAATAAGTAAAAAAAGTATTCGGCTGCTGTGTGACAGGGATATTGTAAATAAAGGTTGATTCTTATAATCAGACAGGCACAATCAAATTGTAATTTGACGATCAAACAATAAGAAATACGTCATAAAAGCACGCAATCTCGAAGCATATGTTATCCTTTTTCTGTGTCTTCCTCATCTGGTCCAGTAGAGAACGGGGAGTTTTACTGTCATATTTGAATTATAAAAGGCCCATTATGTCTCTGAAATACTTTTATTTTTATTTCTTAAAGGCTTTTAATGTTTGTGAACTTTTAAAAGTTACTCATTGACCAATAACCTGAACCTTCTTTTTATTTCTTTTTTTCTTGGCAGTCAGTACAGTTGTAGTGTACGGAAGTCAAAATACTCATTTTTTACATCTTTTATGACAAATTATTTCACATATGTATCTTATTTCTTCAGGTAACAAGCATCTAACATTATTTAAACATTATAGAAAATTCCCGTTTGTCCTTTCAAAAAAAGTAAAAAGAAAATGTTTCTGATGCATAATGTGCATTTAAACAAGGCTAGTGACCGTTTCTGCAGGAAGTAAATGTAAGGCTTTCATTACAGATAGCATGTTATATATTGATATGATTTAACTACCTGCTGCTATCTTGTTTATTCTCGTGAAATCTCGCTCATGTTCGAGATATAAGTCTCATATGACGAGTCTATAATCTAATCAGTTACATATATATGGAATGTGTATTTGTTATATAATAAATGTAATCGGTATATATAAAATATACATGTATCTAATATATCTTATAGCAAACTTTACTCCAAGGTTTTTTATTCATTTTATTTACAATCCAAATATATTTAAATTTTAAAATCATCTGTCAAGACAGAGACATAGATATCATGTTATCTACATCTCTGGTCAAGAATATGTTAATCTATTTGAGATACATGTATTTGTTCTAGTAAATTTCAATATTTACAGCACTTGGTGGCAATATATCTTGCATAGATGGATTTGAATGAACTCAAGCATTATCTTACACCTTACAGTTATGTCAGAGGCATCCATCTTGCGTGTTGTATCAGACGTCGAGGTAAAGTAACCCGCCCACGTCATACACAACTATTTGAATGTTTGTCATCCATGTTGTAAAACACATACCTCAA